ATTATGAATTGGAAGAATGAAATGACTACTATACTTTGTATAGTGTCTAGAAGTGATCATCATTTGATTGCTTCAGTTTAGCTACACAGACATTATCATAGTACTGATCCATACAATAACTGAGTAAGTTGGTAGGGTTGTCGACGTAGTTCTATTTGTGCTTTCAATATTTTCATTATCGGTTGGATATTCTCAATCGGATAAGTGGAACACACACACATAATTAGTTGATATTGTGCAGTAGACAATCAAGATACAAGCGCAAAAAATATTGAAAGCGCAAATAAAACTGGGTAGATGACCCTGCCAACTTACTCAGTTATTATATGGACCGGTACTCTGATAATACCTGTGTAGCTATACTGAATCAATCAAATGATGATTACTTTTAGACTATCTAAATATGTAATGCAGAAAAAAAAAGTGAGCAAGCAGACTTTTGCCTACGGATGTACGTTCAGGTACGAGCGGATATGATCATAAGTTACCAGAGAACATTCCCAGATGTCCATGTTTTTTCCAGCTAATATTTTACTCGTAATTAGATTCTTGATAAGCTATGGCAAATATTCATGGAGGTTGTCCCCATATTCTGCGAGAGGAAAATCATAGTAAAATGTCACGTTATTTTAAGATTTATAATCTGTAAACTTCTTATGGTTGCAATGTTGAAAAGTTTAATATAAAAAACCTGTTTTCATTAATTAATTGATCTTCATTTTATAAAGATAAATTAGGGGAGGATCTTTTTTGAATATGATGATAAACGAAGTCATGTACAACAGTGTACAGTTGTTTACGACCATTCGCGGCAATCGTAATCTTCGTTCTGAGTATTTCACTGTGGAAGAGAAAAAGGAATATAATGTAATGTAGACTTTGTCTTATTTACCGGAAAATTATTGCTTTCTATATTTCAATATGTTATATGTAAAAGAATGATCCTTTCCAAAATAAAAAAGGAGCAATTGTTTTGATTTTTCTTCAATCTTTCAAAACGACTAAATACTTTTTCTTTCGCTTGGATGCATCAATTGATTGAAAGCATAAAAAAATACTACATACAAATTCTTCCGTTAAATTTAAAAATAACTTCAAACAGAATAATTGAAGCCATTCTCCAGCATCACTTGCTAGACTATTTACGAATGTATAACTAATATAAATTACATACTGTTTGAATTAGAAAAAAGTTTCTTATCGACTGATGCCAAAATATTCGCTTCAGAAAGTGTTAATTAAAAAGATATAGGAATCAATGTTTCGTCCCTTTTTGTTGAATCTCAGGAAAAATGCGAATTTGTTTTTGTCTTTTCTGTAATGTAATTTTCTATCAAAGAGACATACTAGTCGACATTTGTTCCATTATACTTTTGTATTTATCCGTTAAATAAAAGATGTATTATATAAAATCCAAGAAGAAATCATCATCGTCTTTCCTTGTATGATTGTATTTAATGCAAGTTGATATTTACATAAATTCATCTTGTCCTATGATCTATACTGAATGAATTCTTTTTTTTTATTACTATTGAAAAAAAAGATAATTTTATTTTAAGATATTTATCTATATGACTACAAGAAAAAGTTTTTATGTATATAAATGGTATGCTGATATAATTGATGAAAAAACTAATGATGTAGCAATTATTTATCTTGGAGAACTTGAATGGAATTTTTTAAAAATTAGTTTTACAAATATTTTACAATTTCTTGAAAAATATCATTTAATATCACAAACTACATTTTCAAATTATAATTCACCAATATTAAAAAATAAATCATTTCATATCAATTCTTTACAAGTATCTGGTCAATGGGAATCAAAAAGTGAATCAATTATTGAAAAATTATTTGAAAATAAAGATGGTTATATTCTATGGGAATGTTTTATGCCAAGTGCATTAGGAGAAATAAAAATAGATGAAAAAAAAATATTTCAAGGATTTGGATATGTTGAAAGATTAACATTAACTTTAAAACCTTGGCAAATACCAATTAATATTTTACGATGGGGAAGATTTCTATGTAAAAATCAATATATTGTTTGGATTCATTGGGAAGGTGATGAAAAAAAATTTTTAGTCTTTCATAATGGAATGAAATATATCGATGGAATTATTAATGATGATATGATTGAATTTGGATATTATCGTTTAATGTTATTAAAAAAATATACTTTACGTAATGGACCATTAATTAAAACTGTATTTGATAAATTTTTATGGATTAAAAAAATTTTTCCATCAGGATTTTTTAATATGAAAGAATGTAAATGGCAAACTTGGAGTGAATTATATGAAAATAATTGTTCAATAGCAAATGGTTGGTCAATACATGAAAATGTTGATTGTAAACCAAAAATGAATTGTTTTGGAAAAATTTTTTATGGTTCATTATTTACAATATTACTTCCTTTAATATTAATGTTTTGGTCAAAACAAACAGAAAAATATATTCTTCTTCCTATTCTAACAAATTCTATTGTTGCTTTTATATTTATTTTATTGGGTTTAATTTTAATGTTTTCTGCTATGTTAGATTTATGGATTAAAGGTGATGGACTTCCAATGAATGCATATCCACCATCAATATTAGTAACAACAGGTTTATATAATATATTTTCACATCCGATATATATTGGATCTTCAATATTCAGTTTTGGTTTATCGATATATTTTCAATCAAAAAGTGGATTTTGGTTAATGTCACCAATTCTAACATTATCATGGCTTGCACTTGTCTATGGTTATGAAAATGAAGATTTAAGAAAAAGATTTCCTGACATTAAATGGAATCCATTATTACATTTACCAGAAAATATCAAAATGAAAAGTCAATTCAAAGATATTATATCAGCTTATTGTTTAGTTTTAATTCCATGGTTAATATTTTATCAAATGATTATATTTATAGGTACTCCATTAAATTCAATATCAACTTATTTAATATTTGAAATAAATATACCAATTATAGAATGGACAGAAATATTTTATCTTCTTGCTTATCCTTATGTAGTACTTCTACCGTTAATTTTACAAACAAAACAACAAATTCGTTCATTTATTTTAGCTGGTTTAATCAATATTAGTATTGGAATTTATTTACAAATTATTTTACCATTTGTAGCTGTACCTAGAGAATTTATTCCAACAACAATATTAGGACAAATATTATTACATGAACGAGACTTAGATGGACCAACAGGTGCATTTCCATCATTTCATGTATCTTGGGCATTTTTATCAGGTTATTATTATAGTTGGAATTTTCCAAAATTGAAATTTATATTTTATATTTTATCAATTCTTATATCTTTAAGTTGTATAACTACAGGAATGCATAGTATAATAGATGTTATAGCTGGTTTTCTATTATTTATTATTTGTATTAAACGAGAAATATTATGGATTTATATAAGAAATTATTTTGAAAATTTAGCTAATTCATGGACATATTATCGCATTGGTAAATTACGTATTATTAATCATAGTTTTTATGCATTTTTAAGTTCATCTACAGGTGTTTTTATTCTTTGTTCACTTGTTGGACATACTTATACTATAATAATAACAAGTACATTATCTGTTATTGGTGCAGGAATATGGGCGCAATTTATTGAAAACACTTCTGGTTTATCACGACCATTTGGTTATTTTGGTTGTATTACTGGTGGTACAATTGGATCAATTATTGCTTCATGGCTTTTTAATATTCCAATCATTTCAATTTTATCAGCATATGCTTTAGCTAGTCCTTCGATACAATTTATTGGTCGTTTACGTTGTGTTATACAAGGATGTTGTCATGGTAGACCAACAAATAAATTTCTTGGAATATTAGTTAAAAATCCACGATCACGTGTATGTTCACTTTCATATTTAAAAGATACTTATATACATATAACAGCTGGTTATTCAATGTTAGCAAATCTTATAATTGGATTATTTTTATGGAGACTTTGGTATTCAAATGTTTCATTATGTTTGATAGTTAGTCTTTATTTTATTTTAATTGGTCTTAGTCGATTTGTTGAAGAAGAATATCGAGGTGAAATTCAAACACCTATTTATTATAAATTAAAAATTTATCAATGGACATCAATTTTATTTGTATTGATAGGAATGATTATAAGTATGATTCCATTTGATGATAATGCTAGTTTAAAATTAATTTGGAAGTATGAATATGTATTACCTTCTATTCTATTTGGTTTAGCTACAGGATTTGCTATGGGAGTGGATTTTCCTGAATCAAAAAGAAAATTTTCTCGATTATCAGATTAATGGAAACATTTAATTGTTATCTTTTCTTTTTTAAATAAAAAATAAAATAGATAGTGTGCTTTTTTTTCATACCCAGCGGGCCTGTAACTTTCTTGCTCAGAAACAGGTTTAATTGCTTGAAAGTGATTATATATGACACAGAAAGAGTGTGTAGGCCTGGATGGTTTGCTTCTGTTATGAGACTAGTTGTGCGGATAACACTGCAGAAAAATATATTATTTTTTTTCTCAAAAGTTAAGCGTGCAATTAAATAAATATTATCTATCGGCTTCTAGATTCAGAAAATGCACTTGATTTGTCTGACGAATGGTTTAATTTTGTCAGATAGTTATTTTTCCAATGATATCACGATTTTCAGGCGAATTTTTAAGCAAATGGTATTCCAGTTTCTTTGGGGACTGTAACAAAGCTGTTTATATCATCGGATAGACTGTTTTTTTCTATATTTATATATAGAAAAAGTGTGATCTTTATATTGAGTTATATATCTGTCTAGATGCACGCTATGAGGGTTGTTTCGAACAGAAGTTACTTTGTTACTCTTAACAAACTTTTATTTCTTCTCAGTCAGGTTCCAGCGTTTTTTTCGCTCACCAATTCTCAAAAAAAAAATCTTTGAGCCTTTCCTCCAAAATTCGATAAGTTTTCGTAAAACCTTTCAACAAGCGATCTGAATCATTGAACCCTTCCGAATCCTATTCAGCTCAAGACTAGATGTCGTACGGTATAAAATTTTCAAGTATGAACCCAGTCGAAATGTACTTTGATATTTCTCAATGAGGTTTCTAATCGGCATTAGATAGTCGGCCAGAAGATACGCGATCCTTTTTTTTCGGGCATTTTGTATTCGATCACTAATAATAATGAGGCGTGTCTTTTCTTCTTCATTTCTGCTATTATCATACCTACGTAATCATTATATTATACACTAACATAAAAAGAAAGTATTTTCTACTTTCATTAGCAGCTTATATTAAACGATAGAATTACATATTTTTGATACGAAATGACATATGAACAAATGTTTTTCAACTGTTGAACTTTTGGAAATCTCCTTGCTGTTGCAACAACAATAATTGTTTCATTGATACTGGTATATTTACCAACCAAAACAATTATTTCTACCATATAAACATGTCATGTCTTATTATTCATAACTTGATAGACTTCAAAAAGCAAAATAAAAAAATAAAGGAGACATATTGAGAATAATTTCATCTCTTTTCAGTAGTTTTATTTATATCTCATCTGTAAGATTAAATATCTAAAGCATACAAAATAATAATGTGCTATAAAAAGAAATTAGGAAAACGAAAAAAGTAATGATGTACAGGTGACACAGTATAAAGGAAAAATAGTATCCAATCTCTGTTATCACTGTATAAAATATCTATTCACTATCGAAAATGTGACAATCCCTTTGTTCCTTTCTTTTTTTTTTGATTTATCTATCTGTTAGTATTGTACTTCGTACGATTGATTATTAATAACGAATACGTTGCGTTATGTAATAGTTTTAATAATTTTATTTTTCTATTCGACGAAATTCAATAAAGTTATTGTTGATAATGATTGGTTTGGTTCAACATCATTTATTCCTGTCTTACGATTACTTGATACTGAAATAGAAGTACTCGGTCTCACTGTAGTAGTTGGTAATATTTGGTTAGATCAAATGGCATTAGATGCATTACGTTTTCTTGAATTGGGAAATCTTAGTAATAAAATTTCTGTTTATAAAGGTGCTACATATCCATTTTTAAATAATCCATTTCGTATGGAAATATGGCAAAGACTTCATGGAAAAATTTCATGAGCAGGTGCATTTGCAGAACAAAATTTAACAGCCAAAGCTGCTTATTAAGATCCTTCCGGTGGAGATCCAACACATATTGTACTGTCGGCTTTACCAGAAGGTCTTCCAACGACAAAACTACAAACTATGAATACAATTAATTTTCTCATCGAACAAATTCATATGTATTCTCATCAAGTTTCAATATTAACACTTGGACTATTGACAAATATTGTTTTAGCAATAAGGTTAAATTCAACATGTGCAAGAAATGTTAAAGAAATCGTAATACAAGATGGTTTCTTAGATAGAAATCTTGCTCAAGTACATATTAACACTAATGTTTCTCTTCATAATCAACTCGATTAATAACCATTGTCAATAAATCCATATAATTTCTTTACATTCAGATTACTGGTTCGTTACTTCAAGCCGATTTAAATTCTGATTTCAATATTCTCTTTGATCCTGAAGCTGCATCAATTGTTCTTACTGCTGATTTTCCTTCCTTTGTTCTTGTTGGTCGAGCTGCAATGATGGCTACTGTTAATCCATCCTATATTGATAGTATTACTACTAAAATTAATCCATACACAAAACTCATTGCTAAGTACTATCCAAGAAATTTACCAATGTGGAACGAAGCAACAGCTGCCATTCTTACTCATTCTAATCTTATAATTGATACTGTTTATGCACTTGCCGATGCTGATATTGCCTATAATGGCCCATTTTATGGAACTATTCATATTTGACAAAAAATACTTGCTTCATCTTATGTACGAAATGCTCGTTTTATACAAAAAATGGATACAGCTCGATTTTTTAATTTATTTCGATGAGCTATTCGAAGAAATTATTAGACAAAAATTTTAATCTTTCTATTTAAGCAAACACCGATTAACCTAGCTGCAATACAAGTTTATATATATATATATATGTCGTTTAATATGATTCAATCTAATGAACTAATATAATAAAAAATAATCAAATAGGATCATTCTCTTTTAGAAATGTAAGCCAGTGCATTGATCAGTGACTACGACTAAAATTTTTTGATGAATTTTTAAAAAATTTTTGAAATGAAAAAGACAGAAAACAGTAATAGGGAACTTATTGACAAGAAATCAGTCGGGAATATCTGCAAAAACTGATTTAGAATGTCAGAAATTTTTAAAAACCAAATAATTATTTTTGTGTCGTGAATCAATGACTTGAGCATTGGCAACAAGAATTCAGTCGATTGACTTATGTCTCTAGTCCTATCTTTTCTTTTGTTTTCTATCTTCTATCATATCGAATATTGCAAGTAAAATAAGTCTTTCAATATTTAAAATATATCTGTTTAGACTTTATTTTGTAAAAATTGGTCTTTTAATTCTCTACAGAACGATGTATTTTTTATCAATTTAAAATAACTTCTCTGTCAAATTTTTTATGATTTCATATTTTAGTTCTTGAATAAGAATATCACTCGATGCTACTTTTTTTTCATATAGTACAATAACCAAAATCATCTCAAATTGAACAAATTCAAGTATGAATTATTCAGCAGTCAATATTTCTTGTTGATAAAAAAAAAGAAAATGAAAAATTATTCTAAAATCATTATTGTGTTAATTGAGTGATACATTGTTTTACATTCTTCTGATGAAATCTTTGGAATAAATTGAACATTTGAATAATTCACATTTAAATTCATTTGATCGTTTAATTTTAGATAATTTTAGTTATTGTAATGAATAAGAAAAAAGTAGCATTGAAAAACGCACTTAATGAAGAACTAAAATATGAAATTATAAAAAATGTGACAGAAAGTTCTTGGTCAAAAATTTTACCTTGAATTGTTTGTTTAAAACTTGTATACATATTATTCAGATTCATAAAAAAAACATTGTTTTATGTAGAGAATTAAAAGGCGAGCTTTTTTGAAAAAAAAATATAAGCAAACGAATATTAAAAGAAATATAATTTAAATATTTAGACGCACATTTTCTCTGAGGTACTGGATAAGTGTATTTAAACAAATAATGTTCACTTCTATTCAGAACTTTTGCAAATCAAATATTTTTATAAGAACTTGTCATATGACATACTTTTATTCATCAATTTACATTTCAATAAATGCAGATAAGTTCAAATGAATTTTACTTTAAATTATATAAGAAATGTTCTTATTTTATTATACTTATATATATATATATATATATATCTTATTACCTTTTATTAAAAAATACTCTTCGTAGAAGAAAAGTATAACTTGAATTTCGGTTAATTTAAATAAAAAAAACTAATAAGAAAAAATTTGTTTTTGATTATTATATTTTTTTTTTCTTTAAATAAAAAAACCATGTGAACAGATTTTCTGTTTATAATACTGTTTCTGTCTTTTGCTTATGTTTTCATTGTTGTTTTAGTAACCTTATTTTCTTATTCTTTCTTTTTCTCTTTTTGGTTAGTTGTCTTCAAAGAACAGCATATGTAAAAAAAGTAAAATTGCTACCGAAAGAAAAGAAAAAAAAAAAAAGAAATTCAATTCACATTCTCATCATCATCTTTTTTTTCTTTTGTTTTGTAGTCGATAGACGATTGAATGTGTGTTTGTGTGTGCACACAAACATACCTTATTTATTCATGAAGTATTTTTTGCACTGAAAAAAATTTGGACATTAAGTTCCAAGGTAATTTATATAACTAAATATTAATGATTTTAAAATATAACTATTTTATTATTATAATTAAATAATCGAGTATATTTATTATTTATATATCAAAAAAAAATAGAAGAAAAAATAATAATACAATCAAAAAAAAAAAATTACAATTAATTTTTTAATAATTATAAAAATGTTGGATAAGAATAAAAAAAAAAGTTCGAGTTTTTAAGATTTTTTTCTCTGAAGATAATATACAATATTTTTTTTTTAAATAAAAATTATAAAATATGATTTAAGCTCTGCCCCCTCCCCACCTCTTAAGTAAAAAGTCAATTTTCGTCAGAACAATCGAAATTAAAATAGATGTATGCAAGGATAGGCCGAGGCCTGATCTTTCATCAATGACATGATTTTTTTTTATTCAACACTTTCTGTTTTGATGACTTCTATCATCATCTACTTGAAACATATGTTGCTTTTAGAAGAAGCAAGAAATCATTTTCGTTTTTTCTCTAATAAGACTTTTTTTGATCACGCATCGTAGAATTTTCGAAGGCACTTGATTGTACCCTGCACACTTTGAAAGAGCATATCAAAATACAGAACATGATAGAATACCTTTTTCTTTTTAATTAAGATTTGTTACTATTATAATTAGAGTACCATTTTTATTGTGATAGGTTTCCGAGACATTGTACATTTTACCATTTAAAAAATAAGAATTTACAAAAAAGAAGCGTCTTTGTCATGTTTTACAACTATAGCTACACTATATTCGGAAAATTTCATACAATTTGAATGTATCCACCCCAAGATTGCTTTTTGAGAAATGAGAGCCTTAAGATATAATAACAATTCTATTACTAATTTTCTAAACTAACATAATTTGAAATAGATAGTTTCTACAATAAAAATAACATCATCTATTTTACTTGCTTTTTAGATATACAAAATATGACAATGTCGAGTAATACAAGTACTACTCCACGTTTGACAATGACAAATGGTTCAATATCCCAATCAAATCCTCCAAATACAACAACAACAGCTACTATACCAATAACTCGTTCAACAATTGATGATTTTCGTGAAATTGTTCGTGAACAATCATTTATTATTCCAAATAATACAGATCATGATTCAATTGATGTACCTGTAAAAAAATATCCACCATTACCTGATATAACTGTACCGAGTAATTCGACAACGAATAATACATTTTTTCGTACAGAAACAATTCTCACACCACCAAAACAAACTGAATCAAAAAAACAAGTTTTTAATCATTTTGCTCCAACAACACAACGAGTACATTTACCAGCACTTAATAAACGTCATATGTTACCAACAATATCAAATGTTATGGATCTTGATGAAGATTTACCACAATGTACAACAAATGTAGCAAATCGAGCAGCAACATATACATCACCTGGTGATCGTATTATATCACCAATAAAACGTCCATCGGCTCCATCACCACCAACAAGTGCACAAATCAAACGACCAGGACAAAATGCATTTGATGATGATGATGAAGATGAACACGATGAAGAACATTATTCGGGTTTAGAAGATGATGAAAGTCAATTTTTTGACGAAGAATTTTATCGTTATCATCAACCTATGATAATAAATCATCGTCGTATTAATCATTATAATCCTAATAATCGTCATTCACAAATAATGGGAAGAAATCCAACAATAATTATTAATGATGAATATGATGAATCAGCTCATCCATTGGATTCAAATAATTTTGAACCGTGAATTTTTATTTTTCTTTGTATTCTTGTTATCTTACGAATTTAAATAAAACAAAAATACGCTTGCCATTCGGTAGAAAAGAGTTGGATAGCAAACCGATATAAGACTTCGTTTCATTTTGTTAGAAATAAGAATTGTTTTGATAATTATGTAGTGATTATATCTGTTATCATTTTTTTTTCTCATTGAAAAAACAGATGAAAGAGACAACTTTATAAAAATGATTTGTGATGAAATATAATAATTATTTTTTTCATTTTTGATATAACCTAAAAAGTCTTCGAGAACACTATCTAGCTTTCAAGATGGTCTTATTCAGCTCCGCTAAAAAGTCTTTCGTACCAAATGATGCTATCTACCTTCTTGCTAAATCCTAGATAAGATACAAATAAATCTGTGTCTACTAAAGAATGACATATAGCAGAACTGATTAAGAATTTCGCGTTGTAAAAATCCATAAATATTACTATTAACAAAAACATTTATACAATCGATACTTCTAGACATGAGTGAAAACGGAGTCAAGGACATCTTGTTCATACCTAGTTACAATACGTGAGTTGTAACAATATGACATTCTATGTAAGTTTCACATGACCCTAAAAGGTATCGTTTTCAATGAATAAATTTTTGTCTTGATCCTGATTCCGGTCAAAAACAAAAAGAAACTCATCTTGTCTATGTCTTAATACTTGTGATATTAAAAAAAATTTTACTTCAGACAATTTCTGCTATTTGCTTCTTGAAGATTTCTTATCCAATTATGAAAATGTACTCAAAATACGTCTATCATGGTGGTAAATAGAGAACAGTTTCAATTCCAATTAATACATTCGACATGATGAGATCCACCAGTGGCACACTATCGTTAAAAACCTTGCGTCGCATCTTCCACCAAAAACAAAAAATGCAGTTAAATATTTCTAGCTACCGCTGGCAAATAGAGGGAAAAAATTTTGACAAATTCACTCGTCATCGAAGCCTGAAACTTTTATAGACACCAACAACAACACAGAAGAAAAGTTAGCATAAATCTAACCATCATCGATCAATCCATCTGCTTACTTATTTAAAAATAATAAACAAGTAACAAAGATCCATCGATTTTAGCTGTAACGTATAAAAGATTATTATTTAACATCAATATCTTATTTCGCACAAGTACTTCAAATACAAACAATCATATCTTTCATCAAATAATATATTTGATTCGACTGATTTATAGATGAAATACTATGACATTCAATGAAAACTTTGTTTAATTACTCCGAATTATGTATCAAATAAGCATAAAAAACAAAGATTATTCTATTGAGAATTTTTGCATACTC